AGGGAAACACCAGGCTCACCTTGTCACCAGCCCACAGCACCGAGTGCCACGTCCAGTCCTTGCCAGGAAACACAAATCTGCCACCTCCCTGGGCAGCGTGGTTAAAAACCCCAAATCAGCTGATGCAGAAATCTGGCAGCACAACCTGAGCCAATTCCATGAGCTCCAATCCCATGAGCTCCACAGTCCTTGTCTCTGACAGCCTTTGGGCCACAGSACTTCCCTGAGCTCAACCCAGGGTGAGATAAAACTTCTGCATTCCTAAAACCCATCTCTGCTCCTCACTGCAGCCTCACTAATGAAGGCAATTCCACCACAGCCCTTGGCCTGTCACTCCAACAGCCAAACAGCTTTTCTGTTATAAACCACAGCCCTGCTTCCAGCTACATTTCAGACTAGAAAAAAAAAATATTCTCCTTTCCAAATCTCTCTCCTGGGCAGGACAGCGATGCCCAAAGGCTCCACCATCACCAACACTCCAGACCCCAATCCTGGGCCATGGCTCCAGGGCTCTCCTGGACAGGATCAGCATCAGCCAGGCTGACTCCCAGGAAATCCCAGCCTCTTGCATACAGAAAAGCAAAACTTTATAGTGGGATGGTGAGTGAGAGCCTTTCAGGAGCTTTCAGACAAGCTCCTTTGCTGTTCCCAGGCTCTGATCCTCCTTTCCTCCAGTTCCATGATCAGTAACTCCAGTATCTGCAGCTACTCCTGGTGTAAAACTCTCCTGTCTCAGGGAGTGAGAAAAACCTGCAGGCACTGCTGTCATAAATGTCCCCTCTGGTTTATTGACACTCACCAGGAAAWTCCCAAGCTGGGAACAAACAAAAAGTTACAAAACTCAACACCTMCAGCAGCCAGAATCCCACCAAAGCCTCTCATTAAACTCTTCCTCCCCTCAATTAGCAGGCTGGTAATTGTCTGTTTGGAATGACCCAGTGGCAGACACGGGAGATCCTCCCAAAGCCACAGATAATCCAGCTGGGAGCCCCTGACTCAGCAAACAGCAACGYTATTAATGGACTGTGAGCACCAATGGCTGCGAGATGCTGTTCCCATGCCTGAAATTCCTCATGGCACTTTCAGGAATTCTGCAAAGCCCTCAAAAGCTGAACAGCATTCGCTCCTGCACCTTCAGACAGCTCTGACAGTGCTGACCTGGGATCAGAGTCCGGAAAATCCCACCTTGATTTAGCAGGAACAGGGGCATGGGCAGCAGAACACGCAGGGAAAAACTGAAAGCAATGTCAGGAAATGAATAAATAAATAAATCCTCAGTCCTTGATTGAGGGCA